ATCGAGTCCCAACAGCAACAGTATAGGGATGAGCACGAAATACTTTAAATTAAATGCTGAATGGCGGTTCATGCAGGGAAAGAACATATCAATATTCGCATATTCATTCAAAAACATGAAAATTCTTAATGGAGTACCCTCATTTTTTATTGAATTCCTAAAAAACAATATTTATAATGAATTTTAATAATTTTTTCGAATTTTTTTTAAGCTTTATTCTGACCGATTCACTCGATTCTCGATCCGGATCGCCGATTCGCCGATCAGGATCGGTTTTTTGGAAGCTCGATCCGGGTCACCGAACCGTTTTTTAAACCATTGATCAAAATAACTTAAAATATCACAGTTGAGAATTTATTTCTATAAACATTAAAGGGTAGAATAGTTTTTTTCATATTTTCAATTTTCTGAGGAAAAAAACACGGTTTTTACGGGGGGGGGGGGGGGGGGGCATAGGGTCTTTTCAAATATATTTCTTTCCCTCCTAATCTCAGCCCTGCTTTGCACCCTGCCTAAAAATCTGGGTTTTGAAGATCTTCAAGTTGGGGAAACGGCAAGAAGGTTGCCTATTTGTGGGCACCCTGCTTAAAAATCTGGGTTTTGAAGGTCTCCAAGTTGGGGAAACAGCAAGAAGGTTGCCTATTTGTGGGCACCCTGCCTGAACTTCTGTGAGCATAAAAATGTAGCCTTATCCTAGATGTGGCGATTGCATTACAGCCCCTATGCAGTGATGGTGAAACAAGGGCATTTCCCCTTTCTCTCTGTATTTGTCATTATCAACATCTCTTTCTTTAGGGGTAGGAGCAGCTCCCCAAGCCTCCTTGGTAGAGAGTGAGATGGATGATCTTAGAGGTGGAGTGAGAATGTGGGAGAAAGATGGAGTTTTCACAAAGTGGCAGAGTAATAATAAAGGGAGTGTAGCGAAAGAGTTTGAAATAATACTCCTGTTAGAATTATACACCTTGTTATGTCTAATAATGTTTTTCTCTCGCCCATAGAAAAAAAAGAAGTGATTAATTATCCCATTTTGTCTCAGTTGTTTAGTCAATAACATTAACTTTTGAATATATAGCATTCTCTTGAATGCAAATTGACTATTTCTCTTAGAACCATATGCTACTTTTATAGCTTTGTTTTCAAAATAGAACTCTTCACATGAGTTTTACCTTGCACTTGTTTCATTTGTTCGCATTTTTACTTACATTATTTCGTGATGCTATGGACTTGCTTGTGCTGGGGATTTTCTTAGTGAAGACGTATAAGAGGATATTGTTTGCTGAGGTGAGGAGCTATGATAAGGCCTTGAGCATAAATCACTATCTGCTGCTCTTTGCTGCACTTGCTCAGTTTCCACTCTTCTTCTGGCTTGGATACCTTGGTGCATGACATAACTGCACCCTCTTATGTTTCTTTATGGTGGGCTTGCTATTGTTGGTGACTTGGGTTATAGTGGTTTGATGATTGTATCAAATTGCAATTTATTGGACTAAATTATTATGTTCACTCTATTTTAAATATGCACTACTCTCAATATTGTCATGGTTAGAATATTTGTTTTGGAGCTTAGAATCTTCCTAGAGGTGTTTTGAAATGCAGTTCCTTTTGGATTCATTATTTTAGCTCTTAACCATTGCTGGTTGCTTTATATGCTCCATTCCTTTTGGATATGTCAATGCAGTTGGGGACAAGTGACCGGGCTCCTATTATTTGGATTGAGCTAATCAAGCTACCATGGACATGTCAATGCAGTTGGGGATTAAGGACCGGGCTCCCCTTCTTGGGAGTGAGGCAGTCAAGCTACCCAATTGGCCTCAATTATTCTGTGAAGTGCTTGTTACTGGGTTGAGGGATTATGTTTTCGAGAGGCTTATAGATATGAATGTCATCTGTCTCAAGATTTGTACTTAAATAAAAATTCATTGAGGTTGAATTCCAATGATTTAGGTCCACTTTGTGTCATAAGATCTACATAATGAGAATTTGCTTTATGTTTAGTTCACTCTTTTCTCACTCCATAATGAGAATGTGCATTAATTTCTTTCTCACTCTATAATGAGAATTCACATTAATTTCTTTCTCTACTAAAAAAGAAAAAAATTGAAACAAGTAAAAGAAAATGGATTAGGCAGCATAGAATCTCAGAGCATATTCATTTTTCATTTCAATTGGAGAGAGAGAGAGATTTGTTAAAGAAGCATCAAAATAAACTTTTCATTAAGATCTATTTATAATCCAAAAAATACAAATTGATGTCATCTCCAACAACACACACCCATATGGTCCCATACAACATGCCCTGGTGGCATACAACTATAAAGACAATTTTTCCTTTTGATGATTTTGCTTCCCATGGATATGGCAGTAGTAAATTGTAATGCAAAGGAGTTAAAATGAAAATTGCTGCAATGGTAGCAGGAAATGGAAGCAATTGTGATGCAAAGGAATTGCTTCATGGAAATGGCAGCAATAATTGAGTGTAGGTGTTCACACAAGCAATTCTTCAATTGGCCACACAAAAAGGTCTTAAATTTAATATACAATCATTGTCAATTGATCTAAAACCCATTTCCAAAGTACAACAGTAAATTCATTCATCTGTTCTCTTCTAGTGGGTTCGCTTTCAACACTTTTTACATCTTTACACAATGTGCATACAATTAGAATTATAAAATGGTAGAAATGAACAAAAATAAAGTCCAATTAATATCTCTTTTAGCCATTGTATAACAGTTTACTCGCCCTAATCCTCACTCTTAGTATCAACTTCATCCTCATTGAATTCATGCCCGTCGGGCTCAATGTTCAACCATTTTTTTCATGACAATGGATTGCCAAAAATTCTTCAAATATAAGAAGCCAATAACATTTAGTTCCTTAATTATATCTACAATGAAGACATACCATCTGAAAACACTAGCAGATATGCTGACTCTACCTCAGAACTCTTTCCACTCCTTGCTGTCATGGTGTTTGATCAAGATGAAGATGCAGCACAGACAATAACAAGCCACATGAAAACAATCAAAGGTGTCTGTTGAACACTTGAAAAGGAATAACAGGCTTCCCATACAAGATTTACAGTTTTTATAATCATTTCGGCAGCTTAGAATCTCATAGAACATTCATTTTTCATTTCAGTTGGGGAGAGAGAGAGAGAGACTTATCAAAGGAGCATCAAAATAAACTCTTCATTAGAACATGTTTATGATTCAAAACATACAAATCAATGTCTTCTTCAACAAAACACACACATATGGTCCCAAAAACATGCCCTCATGGCATACAATTACAAAGACAATGGCCCCTATGAAAGATACCATGAGTCATAGTTGAAGATCCAACATGGAAAAAAAAGTTTCAAGATTTCTTTTTTCTTTTCTTTCTATAGTTTTTTTGTGTACTAGGAAGTTTTTCAAATGGACCTTCATCTCCATCGCCAAGTTTTCTCGAAGGACAATTTCTAAAATCGTGACCACTTTGACCACATGAGAGTACTTTACAGTACCTAAGCCTCTTAGTGTTTTTAGTTGCAGACTTGAACCTCTTTGCTCTAGGTCGTCCTTTCGTAATTGAACGTATATGATTCTTTACACCCATGGTTTGAGAACTAGAATCGGAGCTATCTTCCTCACCTGTACATAACAAATTATGTGTTTCACCCAGACAAGTCCCTAAAAGCCATTGATAACATTAGACAATAGCCTAGAAAAATCATCATAAATAAAATTGTAGCATTCATCGATTCTTGGACCTTTTGACGAAATTATTGAAGCCATTGATTGCAATGTCTGAACCCGTTCAGGATAACCTCTTGAAGTGCTAGAGCAACACTTGGAACCATTGATATGATACGCCTCCAACGTATTGGCAATTATTGCTTTGGAAGTTGGAAAAAGTAACACACTTTATGGAGGACTCAAATTGCATGTCTGCATATAATACCTATACACTCGAATTTTTGGCAGCTGCAAAAAATCATATCCTCAGGCATTAAAGTAACCTTGTTCCCATGTTCCTTCTTTGAATAATGAGTAACCTCATAAGTTGCTTCATTAATCTGATGTGTTGCATATTGGGATGATGCCACAAGTTCCTTTAACAGCAATAAAAAGGCATAGGGAGTCAGAAGACGAGATGCATGCTCTTCAACTAGTATATTAGTCAGAAGAGTGATGTTGTGGTACTTTTGTTTCATTGTATGCCAAAAAATTGCTTGATCTCTGGTGTTTACAACATCTGCAATCTACAAAAATCAAGAAAGCAAATAAGCACAAAATAATATAATTATAGATAATCACAATGGTATCGCAAAAATGTAAGTATTCATATACTTGATGTATGACTTCCTTGAGTGGGGTTTGTGGCTTTAGGAATTGCTGCATCAATGAATTAATCGACTCTGATCGACCTGTGGTTTTCATACCAGCATAAAAATGACCTCTCAAGTATGGCAAAGCCCAAGATTTTCGTGATTCCCACAAGTTATTAATATGGTTGTTTGAATTCAAGCATTTAATACCACCCAATTTCAAAATCTTCTACTACTTCCAAATTATATAATTTGTGAAATTCGCAGTTCCACTCATTGTAACATGAGCCAAGAGGTGCTTTAAACCATCTGGAAAATTTTGATAACATATGCCATATGCAATATACGTGCATCGTATTTGGTAATCCACGGTGTATTGCCTCTCTGAGAGCTTTGTCTTGGTGTGTTAGAATTGTTTGTGGGTGCTTTCCATTCCTTAAACCAACAATTGGCCACAGTAATAAAAGCTTTCTATGTTGTCCCTACAACATAGAAGTTCTATCCTCCCCCTACCATCCAGCTACCCATTTTTTATCAAGAGAGCCCCTCATCGTTTGATTTTAGATACGACGTTTCAAAGTATATTATTTTTAATTTTTTTTAATACAAACGTTTTGAAGATGAAATTTGGTACGTGCCATCTTTTCATTGGGGCGCACCTACAAAAAATATTAACAATAAGTTTCGATAAAAACTAATGATCAAAATACCCCTTGAAGCTTTCAAGGGTAATTTGATCATTTTATTGTACTAAAAATATACTTTTTTATATTTTTCGCTAGTGCGAGTTTAATAGAAGAATGGACTTCCAAAATTTGGTGTCAAAATAGTTTATAAAAAAAAAAAAATTAAAAATAAAACAATGTAGAGACCTGACATTATGATTGGGGCAATCTGAGCCCTGCAATAAAAAATAGACGGTTGGATAAAGGGGAGGGTAGAACTTGTATGTTGTAGGGAGAATATAGAAAGCTTTCCCATAATAAAATAGTCCCCAGGTGAAATAAAACACATGTACACATGCTCATCATTATAAGGAATATCTATATAATACAAAAAAGAGTACAAGATATTGTGCATACCTTCATTGCCAAAGAGAATGACTCAATTTTTTCGTCACATAGCAAGACAACCAAAGAAACATGTATCACCATGATTGTTAGTACCAACCCAAATTCCTAGAGGCATACCATACATATTCTTGCTATATGTTGTATCAATCATGATATTTTAGTCAATTTATATTTTGTAAATTATTTTTTATTTTTATTTTTTATTAGGTGCTCCTCAGTAAGATGTATATATGCTCAAAATTTCAAGTAATTTGGATTTGTAGAAAAAAAATAAAAACTGAAAGACTACCGGATTACTGTGACCGTGTGATGAAATTTGGATGGTGATGAGGGCAGGCGAAATCACTGTTCATTTTCGCCTATACACGTTGGGAAAAGTTATATATATATATATATATATAGAGCAATGATCCAATGCAACGGTTGTATCATAGTGTAATGCAACGACACTTCTAGAAAACCATGTTTGTGATATTTGTATAACCGCAAATTTTACACATACTCTCTCTTCATCTCAATAATCAATCCTTCAAAAAAAAAAGTTCAATTTGAACCCTAGATAGGGTCAAAATGAGTCTCCTCCAAAAAAAAAATTTAGACCATTCATTTTGTGAATTTCAAGATTATAGCCTCTATAAACTAAAAATCATTTTGTTCTTCTTTAACATTGTTCATCTAATGATAATAAAGCCATCCAAACAAATTGGAAATGAAAAAATCCTTCTACGGCCTAGATCTAAGTATCTCACCAAAATTTTAAAATATATACTCTTTTCATTCTAATGAAAAATCACAAAAAAGAAAAATTTGAAAACACAACATTGAAAGTATTTTTTTAGCCTGATTAATATAGGCCATCCTTTTTAATAAGATGTTTAGATCTAAGCCTTCCTTAAACAATTTAATTAAGGCGCACCTTACAAATTTATCATAACAAGTAATTTTGTTATAAAAAATTCTTAGTATTATCTTAAAATCAATTTTTATACCTAATTAAAAAATTTTAAATTCCAATTATCTATAAATATATGAAAATATTGAAAGTGGACAGTCTAGATAGTGTTGCAAGATGCACTATTTCCGGGACTCAAAACCATTTTTTTTTTTTTTCATTTTCATACATTTTAATGTCGAGATGATCGAGTAGAGGGTTTTTTCAACATTAAAACAACATTTTCCATAGATTTTTGAGGTGCATCTGTGATTCTACATTTTAACTTTTCTCATATATATATATAGAAAACGTTTATATAGAGCCGAGGGTTTAAACAATGAAATTAGAGCGCACCTAAAAAATTTCACCAGAAGAGGTTGTTTTGATGTCCAAATATCCTCAAATTGATCATCTTGGCATCAAGATGCATGGACATGAGAAAAAAAATGGATCTCAAAATTTGGAAATAGTAAACAGTGCATCTTGCAACGAATTTTGGACTGCCAATTTTTAATATTTTCAAGTATTTATAAATTTGCTCGAACTACACTATTTTTTAAATTTTAAAATTTATAATTAAAAATAAAAATATGTTTTGAAGCTATAACAAATATTTTCAGTCATAGAGCCTCGGTTCTATACAATATTTGAGATTTGCAGAAGTAAATGGTCTGGTCTGATTGTATACAATCCCTATATATATCATCATTCCATGTGTGGCCTCATCAATCTCGCTGTGGAATGTGCCTGCACTCCTTTAAGATGAGCGAAAGCATAGTTCTCTATCCTTCTCCCGGCATGGGGCACTTGGTTTCCATGATGGAACTCGGGAAGCTCATCCTCCACCACTACCCAACCTTTTCAATCCATGTCCTCACCTTTAACCCCCCCTTCCACACTGGCGCCACTGCACCTTACATGAGCCGTATAGCTGCTGAATATCCCGCCATCAGCTTCCACGAGCTCTCGCTACCACCCAACCAGTGCGCCACTTTCATGGACTGGTTCCTCGTCCTCAAGCCCCTCGTCCGTGAAGCTCTCGAGTCCTTCTCTCGAAGAACTCCTGTACGAGCCTTCATCATGGACTTTTTTTGCACCTCTGTTCTTGAGGATGCAGAGGAGCTGTGCATCCCAGCATACTTCTTCTTCACTTCTGCCGCCGCCTTCCTTGTGCTATTCCTCTACTTCCCGGAGCTTCACAAGCAAAATCCTGGGACGTTAAAGGACCTGGATCGGGACCTTTTCATCCCAGGCTTACCCCCTATGCCTCTATCAGTATTTCCTGATTCGATGCAGGATCGCAGCCAAAAGCTCTATCAGTGGTGCCTCCACCACGCATCTCGGCTTCCACGAGGGCGAGGGATCATCATCAACTCTTTTCATGACCTTGAGCCACTCGGGATGCGTGCCCTGGCCTTCGAGGAATGCGCACCTGGTGTCCCAATGCCCCTGACTTACTGTGTTGGACCTCTCATTGCCGCCGGTGATTCTAGAAACCCTAGTGAGTCACTCAGCTGGCTCGACACACAGCCTGCAGGCACTGTGGTGTTCCTCTGCTTCGGCAGCATGGGGAGGCTCTCAGCTGCACAATTAAACGAGATTGCGGTGGCACTCGAGAGAAGCGAGCATCGGTTTCTATGGGTGGTGCGAAGCCCACCTGCAGAGGGTGAGGAGATGGGCAAGAGGCCACCCGAGCCGGACCTCGAGGCACTACTGCCAGAGGGGTTCCTGAAACGGACAGCAGGAAAGGGCCTGGTGGTGAAGACATGGGCTCCGCAGGTGGCGGTGCTGAACCACATGGCCGTCGGAGGATTTGTGACGCACTGCGGGTGGAACTCTTTGCTGGAGAGTGTCTGTGCAGGGGTACCAATGGCAGCATGGCCCCTCTACGCGGAACAACATGTGAACGCATGGCTGATGGTTGGGGAGAGGGAGATGGGGGTGGCGGTGGGTGCAGTGGAGAGAGGCGAGGACGGGGTGGTGGGGGCGGAGGCGGTGGCCCGGTTGGTGAGAGAGCTGATGGACTCATCACGGAGTATGAGGGTCAGAGAGCGGGTGGCTAAGCTCAAAGAGAGGGCGGTCGCCGCCCTAGCCGAGGGCGGAACGTCTGTCACCAGCTTGGCAGAGCTAGTCAACGCATGGCTTGAGGGGCCACCACCACCACCACCACCACCACGCTGATGTCACATTTGGAAAGAAGCTTGTGGAATTATCCGCGAAAGGATAATATTGGTGCGTTGCGATTTGTAAACAAGTTGATAATGTAGAATTCTCTGACCCAAAGGAGAATATTAAAAAAAAGCAATATGTGGTCCAGGAATGGTGCTGGGTATTATCCACCAGGAGTGCTGATTATTGGTCCCGGTATCATTGACATGGCATTTCCAGTGTAGCGTGTACCACACACGGGCTTTTCAGCATCACATTGTTCCAATGTCGTCTCCTTGGAGTAGGGGTCGATTGTGTCGAGTGCAGTCCGGATCTATAAATAAAAATATAAAAATTTATATTTTTTTATTAAAAGTTACTATTATTTATATATAACTTATACTGATATATTTAGGTTGGTTGGTCTTAGCCTAGACCCAACTAAAGGTGGCAATGGACCTGGATCGACCCGAGACCCGACGGGTATACCCGATATGGGTCTGGGTATGGGTCCAATATTAGACCCGTAGGTCGGGTCTAAGTCCAAAACCTGGACCTGAACACTTTTCGGGTTTTGGTTCAGATCTGATTGTACCCGACCCATACCCATAAACTATTAAAGATAAAATATTTCATGCTCTATTCGTTTAGGTGTATTAATGATCATATAGAATAACAATTTGTAGTCATTGTCCAAATTAATCCCTATCCCAAAAAACTAGTTTTTATGAGCTTGGCTATTGGTTTGATTGCTTTTTGAGAATGGGCCGTGGCTTTTGCATTAGTACCGTTGAGCCCCATGATGGTATCTTCCACTCTTTTCTCACCAAAGGGTAGGGGTCCAAATTTTCACTGGCTAACCCATTTAGGATAAAAGCTGTCACACCCCAAGAATTTACAGTACTGTTATTCTTGAGATGTGACAGACAAAACATATATACATCTATTGATAGGACAAATTTACAGTGGCGAGGTCTTACATAGTAAGTAAAAAAAGCTAGCACAACAACAGTATCTTCCAAGGTTGATCTTGACTAGCACTCAAAATGAATCCATAGTTATCCTGAAAAAATGTTTACCATAGTTTGATGAGTTTGGCTACTCAGTAAGTGATCATCATAATCCTAAAAATAATCATGATTGAAAGATATCAATATTTTCCAAAATGAGATCTATTAATAGAAATGCATCAACAATTTCACTTTCAATAATTGCATAATTAAGTATAATCCGAGTAATTGAAATGCTTATAACACTTTTAACGGCAGTACATAATTCAAAGGATTTCACAAAATACCCTACTGGCATCCCAAGTAGGTCACCTATATACCCCATCAGCGTCCTGATGGGTCCACTTAATCCCTATCGACGTCCCAGATAGGTCCACTTAATCCCTGCAGGTCCACTTATACCTCACCGGCGTACCGGATGAGTCCACTTAATCCCTACCGACGTCCCAAATAGGTCCACTTATACC